TGCTCACATCTTAACATTTTTTTTCAAAGTGAACTAGGGACTTGGCAGCCAGCTCATGATTTACAAATTAGGTTCACAATCTTTCTGCCCATAAAACAATGTCTGGCTCACTGTCTCTTTTCATAGTTTAAAACGGAAGGACTGCAAAGGGTGATTATAGCCTTCATAAATCTATGCTTGCATTTTTCTCTTTCACACAGAGAAATATGCACATGGGCATAGGTTACTCAGTCTTTGGACAGGCATATGCATTGTAGCAGAGATGAAGGGAGAACAAATGCAATGAAGTTTAAAAGGAAAGTAAACAAGATTATTAATTAGTCTCAACATATGTCATAGTAGCTCCTCTGGGAGTCTTCTGTCACAGGCTTTAGTACAAAGTGACAGATTATAATTTTTGGCCCTCAAGGGAAATTTACTAGCCTTTGCAGAAGAATCAAACAGAACAGCCACAATTCAGTCTGGTAAGGCATTTTCAGACTAGCACATTTTGTTGAAGTACAGTTTGGTTCATCGGATACATGGAAGAGCTAAACTGAGGTAGGACTTAATATGGAATAAGATAAAGAGGGAATGGGGAGGGGAAGACAGGGTGGTCATGCGGAGGCAGATTATATATGAGACAAGCTACAAGTATTTTAAAACAACTACCTCTTTCTTTTACCGTATCGCCACCTTGTTTTACTCTTGCTTCTTTGATGTATATTTATGTATATGTACCTATACAGGCCCCTACTGCCTTTCTCTTTGTGTGAGAATGGCTAATTTGCAAATGGGAATCAATTAATTTTACAAATAGAGAGCTTTTTAAGTAGACAATCTATTTTAATTAATAATTCAAGTAATATTAATTCTGTTTCCTGGCTCTACTGTGCCCTACCTTTCCTTTTTTTTCTTTTTTTCTTTTTTTTTTTTTTGAGGAGTGTGCTTCTGACCGATATATATATATATATATATATATATATATATATATATATATATATATATATATATATACACACAAAAAAAAAAAAATATCCCTTCTAAAGCATTTAGTGAACCCAAGTTTCACTCAGATGGTACTTGTCAGTTTAATAGATAACTGAAAGTTGTAGGCCTCAAGAAAGATGATGAGAAGAAGACCTTTACTTTTCAAATCTTGCTTGATAATTTCAGAGAAAATAGAGAAAACATCTGAATGCAAAATAGATTAAAACATCTAACAGAAAGAGAAGTGATAGAAGAGTGAAGAGGGAATTCTTTCTTTTGGCCAAGCAATGTTTGCGGGTCACTTTAGGGCAATGTTTTCATTAAGACAACTGACAGGCTACAAGAAGATAGAAACCCTTCAAGATATTCCAATTTCTTTATCTTGCAAGACATTACACAAGCTGGTTGGGAAAATAGTTTGGAATATATTGTCACACAAATTAACTAGTGGATAGGTAAGTATCATTTCAAGATATATCAACATTTCATTATCCTATCCTAAGATGTGTGTTTTTGTCGGGATTTTTAAAAACCCTAATACATAATGAGATAATAGGCAACTATCTCAAAAACAGAACATTTGTGATTTTCCAGACATTGCTGAACTATACTTTCCAGGAGCCCCACGCAGCCTAGTCAAAAATGAGATTGCTGGGAACTGTAGGTCAGTCGTAGCTAAATCCTATGTTCCTAAGCACCCTAAACACAATATTCCTGTTTCAAAGAAGGTTCATAGATTCAATTTTAAAAGTATATATGAACACATCCTTTTCTTTGATTAAATATTATCAGGAAGTGATATTCTCAGAAAATTGTGGAAGTCCTAGATAATTAGGAATAGAATGATATGCTGTAGTAAACCATTAAGTAAATGCTGAATATTTTGTTACTTCTCCTATCCTGTCCAGCCTTGATGACTTTTAGCAGAGACAAACAAAATATTGTACAATATCATCAAAAACTGAAGAACAAAAATTGCACATTGGGGGAAAGAAGAATTCATTTTGAATCTACTTCTCTGTGCTGTCATCCTCTGTTTTAGAGATGAATAGAGGAAAGTACTAGACCTCAAGTAAAAAAACATTGGTTTTATTATCTAAGTAATATAACTGAAATAGAGCATGTCCTCTGCTTTCTCTTCCGTCTCCTTTCTTGTTCTTGTTTATCAAATTTTCAATCAGCAAAAGTAGCAGCATACAAAGAACTGTGTGTGCTAATGAAGCTTATAGAGTCAGGCAAATATCTCAGAAGGATCTATGCAGGTTGCCATGCCCTTGTAACTTCATCAATAGCGCCATTTCTACTTGGCTGGTAAAGAGGGGAGATAAGAATAAGGAGGGAGGGAGAGGGGGAGGGAGGGAGGGAGGGAGGGAGAGAGAGAGAGAGAGAGAGAGGGAGAGAGAAGACAAAATCCATCTGATTTCTGTGGCTTACAAAACAAGAGAAAAAATATAGCTGCTTGGGGATACTGATGTATGAGTTCATCCTATGGTCTTTTTATAGGAAAGGCAAATGGAATAAAGATGCATGTGTTCTAAAACATGCATCCAAAGTAGCAGCCTTCTTTCTACTCCCACCAAGGAGGTAAAGCTGCACCAGTACAGATATCAGGCAAGAATACAAATATAAAACAGTCTCTATGTAGACTAAGAGGGGCAAGCTTGTTATTTAGCCTGAAGACTCGGTTTAGGATGACACAGAAAATCAAGACACTGGAAAAAAAAAATCTTGCCAGCTTAACACTTTTCTTGCAAAAAAGAGAATCAAAGAGGCAAAGGAAATGGAAGAGACAGAAGTTCCAGCAGCCATGAAACAAGTATGAGAGCAGAAGACCGTAAATATAGCAAGAAACAGATCAGCCTTGCTCTGCCTCTAGCCAGGACCCTTAATGGCAGATCTTTTGTCTTGCTGAGAAGATGTCTAGCTCTAGAACTCAGCCCAGCTCATGACTACAAAAAGTCCCTGTGGGAATGAAGGAGGCCACCGTACAAGAGATTATCTCGAATGGCTACTCTGAAGCTGAGGGGAGTTCATCCTCAGTGACCTATGATCATCATGAAAAGCCCAGGAGAAAATATGCAAAAGAACATTGGGTGATACTAATAGATCTATTGTACAAGAGTAAATGTGCCACAACACTCATTGTGCATGCGTGTTTTACAAAATGCATAAGAAATGCACACATCATGTTACATACATGACGGGTATTTTTTTTTTTTTTACAAGAGTGGAATCTCTACCATCCCCTCTTGCGTTAAGCGTGGGGAAAAAGAAGTTGGACTGAGCTGAAACTATTCATATTGCTTTGACATTTCAGGCACAGTTGAAAAACATCACTGTGTTCATAGACTGCCTGATCATATTGCCCACACAACTCACGAATTAATTTCCGTCCCATTTCTCCTAGCCTTCCTTGAGTGCGAAATATTTCTAGTTTCACTGGTAAAGGGGAGGACAAAGTATACGACCGCTAGAAGCTGTCCTAAGTTCTGTCCAGATGACCAGCTTTTCTGTTTTCCGACTCTCCTGTTTGCAGTTTAAAACTGCACAAACAGGATCGATCTGAACAAGAATCTCAGAATGCTGTAGGTGCAGTGACATAAGTTTACTACTACTGGTTTACAGTGATGATAGAGAATGAGCAGTCAAGCAGGGGATGATCACAGAGAACTGTCGGCCACCCAATGCTCAGCTAGTGATGTGTGCCTTTTCTTGGAGTGCTTATGGAAGCCCAAGAAGCACCAATGGGGAGACACAGTCATTGCAAGAGTGACCTTTCCTGTTTGAAACATTGGAGGATGTGGGCATATCATGTAAGTCAGACACAGCCTCATACAGTCAAGGTGGGTGGGGGTTATTTCAGTCTATAATCTGGTTTGTATATCTCTCTGGAAAGGCCCTTTGAGCAAAATCCTCGGCCAGTCCATTTAATTGGTCATCTACAGGTAGTATTTCACGTACAATCATTTGCTTAACAACCATTTGAACTTACAAAGGCAGTGAAGAAAACCTGACTTACAACTAGTCCTCGCAATTACAACATCGCGGTGTCCCCGTGATCATGGGATCAAAATTCAGGCTCTTGGCAAGCGGGATGGTTTTATGATTCCCTGCAGCTTCTTAGGGTCATGTGTGATTACCATTTGCAACCTTCCCAGCTTGGCTCTCAACAAGCAGTAATAGAAGGAGCTATAGTTGCTTAATGGCCAAAGTGATTTGCTTAGCATCCCTAGCAAAAAAAAAAGGTCGTAAAATCAGAAGCATCTCTCCTGACTAACAACTGCTTTGCTTAGCAATGGATATTCCAGTCTCAATTGTGGTCATAAGTCGAGGACTACTTGTATTTAACTCAACTGCTCGATCCATCTAATGGAGACTTACAAGGTTTCAGGAAAACGTATCTCCAGCCCTCCAAGAGACTAATCTTTGACTCTTTCACAGCAAAGCCTATGCTTTACTACTAAGCTGCCCCTAGGGTAGTGTCTGTTCAACTGTCTATCTATAAACATCGCAATGCAAAACAATCACAAGATTCTAACAACCACACAGCCACCTTGATTTTCATAAGGAATTTGGTTTTGGAAAACTGCTTTGGAACTTCCTTCTCCTAAGGATAAGGACAACAGAGCAACAATATTAAGACATTCTAGCATTCACAAAGCAATCTGGCAGATTTTTATTTATCTGTATTTATAATTCTCAGTTTGGTCCGCTGACAACTCAGAAGAAATCTCTTCTTCCTCCAAATTTCTTTGGAGAAGAAAGAAAGTTTTTTGGGAAGCAGTTTTTCTCTTTCCCAAAGGACAACAAAAGTTGATATCTACAGCCATCATCTAATTCTAAAAAGCAAATCAATTTGTGTTCCAATCTGGGGAAAAATATTATATATATATATTTCACCTCCACTGCCACCTCCTCGCTTTCACCTTTACTTTCCCATCAGTTGCCCAGGAACCTGATCCAGATAAATTTTACGCAGTTTTAAACCTGATTCATTTTTTATCATGAGAAGTGGTGCACCATCAACATACCTATTAAGGGAACTGAATCTGATGTGGCAGGCATTATTTCTGCTACAAGGAGCATAAAAACCGTCAAGGACAGAAGAACAGTTATACCTATAACAAAATTATGAAAGAGACAAAAAGTGAAGTCATGAATGCTTTCCACTTTAAAGGTCATTAATAATGTACACCTTCCATTTATTAGATAAAGAAATATACCTAGATTAAGAGAAATGTGTGTTGTAGAAAAGTTTAAAAAAAATGTTCTGCACATTATAAAATTACCATTCTAATATAATTTGAGTAACAACAGATTTCTCCAATTAATCTGCTTCCTTCTTTTGAATCCACATTTCCCCAATTTTGAGGAGGGCCAACTGGCAGGAGAAACAGTCTTATAGTGGAACTTCCCCATACTTATAGTTTCATACGGCAGGTGACATTAAAAAAAGGCTTAGAAAGCAAAACCGAGACTAAGATGGTGGAATTCTAGATTTCTGGATGAACATATAAGCATAATCAATGTAAATGCTTCCCTATGTACACGAGATCAGCATAGTAGAAGACAGTAATGCCAAAAGTCTCTCTCTCTTAAGTTTTCGCTTAATCAATACATTGAAGGATATTTGTTTATATAATCAAAAACACAAATCACCCTTGCTGCTACATCCTTTTCTACGTATCTAAACTGTGCATTGTCTTAATCCTTACCCAAAGATATTTTCTCTCCAGAGTCAGCTGGAAGTAAGAAAACAAGCAGTGCTAAGCCTGATATAAGGACGCAGGGAATCAATAAGTTCAAGCCATAGTAAAGGGTGCGACGGCGCATCGTAACGGTATAAGTTACATCTGGATATGGCTCTTTACAGCATTCATAGTACAGCTCATTTCTTTTGCCTGGAACACCTGCACAGAAGCAAATTGGAAATATAATAAGAGTAGAAATGTGCAGAGAATTTCATTCTGGAAATGGCTGAACAGTCAACATTCTTGCTAACTGAGGGCAGTCAGGGATCAGACCTTATACAGTCTGATGTCTTCAGACGTATTGAATTTAGTGGTTATCAATTATGAAAGCTGAAGTCTAATATACCACGAGGACACTAGATTGAGAAAGGCTGGCCTACACTCTTCTATTAATGTGTTAGGTCATTTCAGGTGGTGTATGAAATCACGGTTTGCTAAAATTAGCTATGATATCTGAATGGATAATATGTTTTGAGCTGAGGCAGCAAGCATGAATTTAGACTTCAAGATTGGGAGATACGGTAGTTTGTAGTCATGTAGGGCTCCATGGCTTAAATATGAGTTGTAATTCATATACTTTATTTCCTTCCTACTAACTGTTTATTTATATTTCTCGTCTAATCTTTGCATTCCCTTAGGTCTACATCTTAAGAATTAAGTCAATTCCCAGTTTAGGAACAGCCCAACAGAACCTACCAATTCATTCATGGTTTTGTTCATTCTGCAGATTACCATGTATTCAATTTAATTACTTCTTAAAGTGTGGGGAGGTTGTGGTCCTGCAGATATTGCTGAACCTCAGTATTTGTGAGAATACTGAAAGCTGAATTCCATAATATCCAGAGAGCCAAAGCTTATTTAATGCTTTTGTCCTATTCATTTTCAATAATTCTTGTGAACACTGTAATATTTAGTAATTCCTGCGAACACCGTAATAAACACCGTAATAGGAAATAATGTGAAAATACCATCTCTGGATAAATACTTAGCTTTCTCATGGCACTAATCTTACTCTGAGGACATATGAAAAAATCTGTATAAATCTATTAAGCAGCCCAAACGTATCTGGTGAAGAATTGTGGCAATAGTCAATGTTCCTTAAAAAAAAAAATCTAAGAATATACAGTAGCCATTACTCCTCTGATCAGTTTCATTTGTAAGGCATAATCTTCAATCTGTCTATCAAATTGCAAGTAGCAATCAACCATTATTACAATGTTTAGTGACAGAGCATAATGAGTTGTAGGTCTCAAGCTATTTATAGGACAGCAGATGGAAATGAGTTTTGTTGTTGTTGCTTTATACAGAGTCAATGATATTTCCAATTTTAGTGGTTCTTTCACCATCCCTCTTTGCATATTTTGGATCATTTTTATTCAGACTATGGATTAAGCAAAACTAAAAGGCTTGGCTGGAAAAGTTCAGTAGCCTTTTTTTTAAAAAAAAAAAAGTCAAGACTTTTCTAAAAATGCAAACTACAAAAAGCTTTGCAGCTTTTGAGGGGAAAAAATCACCTAAACACAGCTTTCAGTGTGAGCAAGAAATATATAAATATGCAGGCACTCCTAACAAGAAAAAATAAAGATTTTTCTTGCTTCTAGGCAAAGCTGAATTTAGCCATAAACTAATCAAGCTACAGCTTAAGATGTCAATGTCTAAAGGGGGCCTCCAATATTTCCAATTTTCGTTTGTCATGATTTTATTATAATTTCACATATGAAAGCCTCCATAAATTAAGCCCTCCTGTATGGCTCATATGGCACTTGCTAATTTGATTAAATTATGCATTCTTTCAGCAGGCATTCACACTTTCTGTTCATAGGGAGTCTTTCTCTATCCCACCCTGGGACTGTTATGCATCTTGGCAGCATTCTTGCCTTGTTTACTTGTTATATACTCTGCCAAATACAGTCCATAGCTTAGGGCCTCACTATGTCTAAATCCAATTCTGGCTCTGGGCAACAGCTATAAGTTAAGGATTAAATTCTGGGATTTTGTTATCACTGGAAATAACTTTTGCGGCACACATCCACTGATGTCACAGTCGATCAGCTGAAGGAACAGCATAGATTTCTCAGGCCCATCTCCAAGCCTATGAATATTTTATATAATCTGACAGAAGAAATGTTTTGAAATAAAATATGCAAGTTCTTAGGGGGTTCAATTCTTTTTTTTTTTTTTTTATTAAAAGTTTTATAAATTTTACAAAAAAGAAAAAAGAATACAAAACAAGAGACAACATATACAAAAAAATAAAACTAAACAATACATATATAAGAAAAACCCCCCATCCCCCACCCCTCCCCCCCAAAAAAAAACCCTCCCTTCCCCCCCCCCTGAGCTTCCCAGAGCAGAATATAGGCTTAAGAAATAAAAATAAAAATTAAATTAAGAACTTTATATTTATATATATAAAAAGATTATCTATAATATATATAAAAATAAAACTTATGAAAAAACTATATAATATTTTTGTATACCCAATCTAAATTGTATAAATTTTATCCATTTATCCCAAACAGCAAAAAACTTCTCTTGCGTTTGTTGCTTTAAGAAAGCCGAAATCTTTGCCATTTCCGCCAAATGAGCTACTTTAAGAAACCATTCCTGCAATGTAGGCAAAGATTCCTTCTTCCAATATTGTCCTACTAACAGCCTGGCGGCTGTAATCAAATTTAACATCAATACAACCTCCTTTGTATCACAATCTGTAACAATACCTAACAAAAATAATTGCGGAGTAAATTTTACCCTCCTTCTAAAAATTCTCTGGATATTCCACCATATTTTAATCCAAAATGCTTTTATCTCTCTGCATGACCACCAAATATGATAATAGGAAGCATCCTTATAACCACATCTCCAACATAGGGGGTTCAATTCTTAGGGTGTCGGGAAAGTGCAAATTGTAATCTGAGCTGAAGCCATAGTAGATGAATCAAATGGGGCCAATACACTATCACTGTCGACCAAGACATCTCAGAAATATCAGCGCAAGGGACCCTTTTGCAACTCTCTCCTTTCTTAAAAATAAAAACTGTGAAAAAGGAAAAAAAGTACACTGAGTTTGCAAGGATGGAAATCCTCTTTCTCTGAAGAGTGGTTGATCTACGATTGCTAGCATACAAGCCAATAGCAAAGCATGCTGGGAGTTATAGTTCAGCAACATCGGAAGCGTTATTGTTTCCTGAAATGATTTACAGCATACAGATAGTTTACTTACTGTTGCAACAGTTCATTTAGTGACCGTTCAAAGTTACAACGGCAGTGAAAAATGAACTTATGACCATTTTTCACATTTATGACCATTGCCCCATCCCCATGGTCATGTGATTTACATTCGGATGCTTGACAACTCATTCATATTTATGACGGTTGCAGTGTCCCGGGGTCATGTGATCATCTTTTTCGGCCTTCTGTGCCAATGGGGGAAGCCAGATTCACTTAACAACTATTTTAACAACTGTAGCGATTCACTTAAGAAATGTGGCAAGAAAAAGTCATACGATGGGGCAAAACTCACTGAACAAATTTCTCACTTAGCAACATAGATTCTGGACTCAACTGTGGCCGTAAGTCGGGGACTACCTGTACGTAGTTGGAAAGCAGAGTTAATATATTATATTTGACTCCGCGTGTTACAAGTTACTTGGGCTGGAGGTTACTGCCCAGAAGGAAAAGTCCAAGTGCTGGATAGGCAGATAGATAGGAGATAAAGCATCCAACTGGATGTTCGGTCCTTTTGCGGAGAAGAAGCATGTGACCTGAGACTGGAAAGCTTTTTTTAAAAAAGCAATGAAAAAACTAGCTCCAAACTGATTCCGTGAAAACTACCACGGCACAATCAAGAAATTTTCAAGAGCTCAACTTGATTTGAACGAGTCTTTATCCTAAACTTGACCTACTTTATTCCATTCTCTCAAATCACAAGGTGCAGGGTCCTGGGAAAGATATTATTTAGTGGCAGATATATGAGTGATGCAATATTTCTCACACACCTGATAGGGGAACACCCTGAAGCATGGCTGGAGCAGCACCACAGAAAGAGATATATAATTATCCCTCGTTAACAGGATTTTAGAGAAATCTTGATTTGGATTCATTAAGCTTCCTTAAGAAATTCAACATACCTACTAAATCCCATTCGCCATTTGATATGTAGTTAGAAATATCAGCTTCGAGCATTTGCAGATCAAGCAACCAGCCATTGTGTGTCCATGAACCAAATTTCAAATTGCATTTCTGCACATCAAAGGGAAACCAGCGGACATCGATGTAACATGTGCTTTTCAAGATGCCTGCAAGGAAAGACAATGTTAAATTGATTAAGACAAAAGTAAAATGGGTTGAAAAGGCATGTATATACATTTATGTACATTTACATCAAACATTAAAGGGGCTGATGGTTTTAAAGTGTGTTCCAAACTCATCTTGCTAATAAAGTAAATCTGTAATTTTAAATTTTAGCTGCACTCTTTGGAGGAGAGTGCAGCAAATGTAAAAGTTAACAGAAGAAATATCTAGACAGAGTTTCCCAATCTAGGCAACTTTAAGACATGTGAACTTCAACTCCCAGAATTCCCCAGCCAGCATGTCTTAAAGTTGTCTTAAAATTGTCAAGGTTGGGAAACCTTGCTCCAGAGTATCAGTAAAGCTCAAAGCAGCTTTGCCTCCAGTGTGCGGATCTCAAATTCTTCTCCATAGTAGCATGTACTGATACGAAGACTGTATATTATTCATCTCAGCCTCAGCAAAAACAGCTGAATTGCTAGCTGTGGAAGTTATTCGTACTGTGAAACTAATGTTCTCACTGCAGTGCCTCACATTCTTTGGCCACTGGGACGTTTCAGAAAAGCACTTAGCTCTTTGGCATTTTGAGTTTGTTAGTTTATTATATTAGCTTATAACCTAATGTTTTTCAAGTGCTGCAGGTGAGAATGAAAAGTTCCTACAGTAATCTGTTATATTCCATGTCTGGAAAGTCTGGTGGTATCAGATTGGTCTTCTGATATCACCTTACTTCCCACATGAGAGAAATGTTGGGCTCTCAGAGATGTTGTTTTTCCTGGCTCTGAATAATTTGTCACTCAGGAAGACAGAAAGTATCATCAGTGTTTCTAAGCTACGTTCATACTTATTGACCTTAAAACCTAATAATATCCATCTTGGTGACTATTATCAAAATGCAAACTGGCCATGAACATCATAAAAAAAGAAACTGTTTACTAGGATTAATGCATTGTTTGATTATCTTTTCCAGAATCTTCCCAGATATTGAGGTCAGGCCGATAGGTCTGTAGTTTCCTGGATCTATTTTTTTTCCCCCTTTTCTGAATATGGGAACTACATCTGCTCTCTTCCAGTCCTCTGGTAGTTCCCCAGTACTCCAGGATCTTTGAAAAATATAGTTCAGTGGTTCTGAGATCACATCTGCCAGTTCCTTGAAAACCTTGGGGTGTAATCCATCTGGTCCTGGTGATTTGAACTCATCTAGGCTGAACAGGTGCTCACTTACCATTTTCTTGCCTATCTTAACTTGTGTTTCTACTCTGTTTTTTATGGTACTGTTTTTGATAGGTTGGACTGTTTTTTTCCCTTTGTGTAAAGACAGATGCAAAAAACGAGTTAAATAGTTCTGCTTTCTCCCTGTTGCTTGTCACCTTCTTGCCACTTTCCCCCACTAATGGACCAATCATTTCCTTAACTTTTTTCTTGTTTTTTACATGTTGAGAGAAGCTTTTTTTTGTTATTTTTGACTTTGGTCACAAGCCTTAGTTCATTTTGAGCCTTAGCTTTCCTCGCTTCATCTTTGCAGGCTCAGGCTATTTGCTGATATTCTGCCTTAGTTATGTGCCCCTCTTTCCACTTTTTGTACTTGTCCTTTTTATCTTTCACTTTGTCAGAGAGTTCTTTATGCAGCCATGCTGGTTTCTTTAGAGAGATGTTATTTTTCTTCTTTGTTGGTATTGTGCTAGACTTTTATTATCTCACTTTTCAAAATTTCCCAAGCTTCTTGAGTTGTTTTCCCTTTGAGGATTCTCATCCATGGAATCCTTCCCAAGCTAAGTTTACTGAAATTAACTCTCTTAAAGTCCAAGACTCTAGTCTGACTGTGTTCTATTGCTTGTGCTTCCCTAATGTTGAATTCCAATATTGCATGATCACTTCCTCCCAAGGTTCCTGTGGCTTCAACACCTTCTATCATTTCATCTCTGTTAGTGAGGATTAGGTCCAATATGGTAAATCCCCTAATTCCCTTCTCTACTTTTTGGGAGACAAAGTTGTCTGCTAAGTTTGTCAGGAATTTGTTTGATCTTCCACTTGTTGCAGAGTTTGTCTCCCAGTTGATGTCAGGGTAATTAAAGTCTCCCATTACAATTGTGATGTGCTTCCTATATACCTTAGTTAGCTGACTAGCAAAAAGTTCATCTATTTCCTCTGTTTGGTCGGGCAGCCTATAGTACACACCTATGGCAATATCATTTTTCCCCTTTTATATTGACCCAAACGCATTCAAGACAGTTTTCATCATTGTTGTGCTCTATTTCTGTAGAGATGTAGTTATTTCTTATATAGAGAGCAACTCCACCGCCTCTTTTGTTTGGTCTGTTTCTTTTAAATAATTTAAATCCCTCTAGCTGTGTGTTCCATTTGTGGATTTCATCCCACCATGTTTCCGTAATGGCAACAATATCATTTCTGCCCTCATTTACCTGAATTTCTAGTTCACCCTGTTCATACTCTGTGCATTGGTGTATAGACATTTGAGTCCTTTATGACTGATCCTGTGTTTACTTTCTACATAACCTGTGTGGTGCCTGAGTTTCCCTATTTTCTTATCACCTGTTTGGTTAGTGCACTTTGTGTGACATTCGCTATTAAAAGCTCGATTTTGCTTGACGGCAAGGTTGATACTCTTGTCCACACACACATCTATGTTTACATGCACTGATAACCCTATACTTTTTAGATTGCCAGGGACAGGAATGTTCTGTATCAATTAACTCATTGTCCCCATTGTTAAGAGTTCTGTTTGAATACTTTTTTTAAGAAAAAATATTATTTTTTACAGGTGAAGTAAAATTTGACACAGAGTTCTTATGGTGTCCATGACTGTAGAATGGTAAAAGTTGATCTATATCAGGGGTAGGCAACCTTGGCTCATGCTGGCTCAGGAATTCTGGGAGTTGAAGTCCACGAGTCATAAAAGAACCAAGGTTGCCTACCCCTGATCTATATCTTTAAATCGAGATCTACAGTACTGAGAAATATCACATTTAAAGATAACTAACATGCATGAATCATTGCTATCAAGTAACAGAGTGCTGCTTGCTTCCAAGTAATGTGGGGTCATTGCATCCTAGCAATGCAGCATTACTTACTTTCTAGCAATGTGCCCAATAATGGCACTGGTTCTCCCTTACTGAGGTGAATCTACTGAAAGAAAATTGCTTAGGAGAGTTTGGCTGCAGAAAGGTAAGCAATATATTGTGGCAGCGGGATTAAATATCCTTTACTCCATTTGCATTTAAATTGCATTACATAACATTTTATATAATTGAAGCATGTCTTGGTTCAAAGTACATAAATCTGTCAACACCCTGAATAGTTTCATCCTCTGTGAAAAATGTAGCAAGATGCTTGTTCGATAAACTCCAGTGGAAGACTTCAAACTTCGGTGATAAACCATGAGTGGAATACCTTAACTATTTGAAACTGCATTTATAATGCGTGAAACAAAATAATAAGGAAGCACATTTTAGACTGATATGAATATTGATTTATCATTAAAAAAATAAATAACACCATAGCTAAATTTTCTCTTTGGGCTTATATCAGCTCCTTAACATCTTTTTCTGCAAAAAAATGTTCTCTCTAATTTTGTTTTTCCCAAAGGACTGTCTGCTCTGACATAAATACTTCATGTCTAACCAGCAATTAATATTTATCACACATTGTTTGCCACTTAATTATTTCGCTGACTAAAAATAAAAGCAGAAAAAAAATGAGGTATCGCCAAAATTCCTGACATAAAACATAGAGCTCTATATTCTACGGTGGTCCATTTGAAACTTAAATTGACTTTGACGTGAAATGCTGGGGTCAGCAAACAGGAGATATGGTTAGTGTTTTGCTCTCCGTACAAAAATGAAGTCAGGAATGTGCATTCCTCCTTCAACAAAAGGACAGAAAACCCTTCTTCCTGATGGGAAGGAAATTAAATTTTAGCCTGTTTACAAAAAGCCAGCACAATATTTCCAGCATGGGCACAAGGCCATTGAACTAGCCTTCTAGTTCAGATCAGTTTTCCCCTCCGTGATATCACTCATGTTCAGTGGGCAGATGGGATCTTTTTTTATTACCTCTCCCGTCACCATTAGCCTGAATTTTTATCAAATCGCGTAGGTGGTGGCAGGGCTAGCTGACATCAGCTGGAATTTAAAGCCAAGCAAAATCATCCCTGAGTAATATTTGGATCTGTGAATTCCAGGGCTGTTAGCCAACAGTAGTGATGGGGTGTTGGAACGCTCAATATGAGAAATGGATAGAAGTAATTGAGAAGTGGGAATAAAAGCTTAACTCTTGCCAGCACCTGTGCAACAGTTCTAATCCAAATCATATGAAACCATAGATTGTTGAGGAAAGCTGGTACACAAAATCACTGCTCATGAGGTATCTGTTCTCCTGCTTTGATGTAAAGGTTTGATAGCTCATTGTACGATTTCATAACATGCAACCCAGTGAAACAAAGGAGAGGAAGAGAAAGAGGGACAGAGAGAGGGATAAACAGACAGAGAGGGAGAGACAAAGAGAGAGCGGGGGCGAGAGAGAGAAAGAGAGAAGATACTTTTATTTCAAAAATATTTCAATCTTTTAAAAAATACCCTTTAGAAGTCCACATGACTTGCCTCTGAATTGATGGTCAAAGGTACTATGTTAACTTTTAGGGAGTCCTTAATGTGTTTATTCTGTATAAATTGTGTTTCAATCATTAAAAGCAACCCTTTGTTCTTTTACCTGCGAATAAATCCCACTGAACAAAGACAAGTAGATATGGACAAGACTACTTGGCACTTTCAATCCACATTTTTCTCCACAAAAGCAACTTGAGGTTATATGCATAGCATACTGATAATATAAATTGTGGTGGTGGAGTAACTGACGTGTTTACAAAAGTTATGCCCGATAGTTGGGTACTTAACAAAATTCACTCCTATTCACAAACAAGAATGTTTTTGTGCAGCAGCAATTACAAAATAGTCTAATAATGAAGACGTACCCTAAGCATTCTAATCTATAGTACATTCACAGATATTCCTTCCTTCCTGAAGAATTGATTAAAAACTCTCTTACCTGGAGGTATATACTGACATGATCCCGAATAGTTTACCAAAACATTTGTATGAAATGTTGCATCAAATCTTTCATCTGCACTATAAAATGCATCAGAAACAATTCAATATTAGTTAGAAAAATACAGAATAATAATAATAATAGCTATTATCATTTGAGTCTTTTTACTAAAGGTATTAATTTTAGCAGAATTATCAGAATACACATGTAGTGAGTGGAATGGGGAATATAAATTATAAATCATATGCTTCAACTATACACGTATAATTTCCAATTCATTATCAGACTTTAGTTCTGCAATATATAGCAATTAGATGAATAAGCTTAAACCACTATATTACTCAATTACAACTTCAGAAGATTAATTAATGAAAGTCAATTTTTTTCTGTGTGGCTGGGACTTGATGGCACTTTTGTATTGCTTTCTTAAAATACTTTTCCCTTTGGTACACAGAAACATTAATCTAAAATTTAAAATGAGAATTATAAAATGTTTCATAATAATAGTATTAGCTTACATCCTACCTTTAACCCTATCCAGCAACATCTGCCTTTTCCAAATCCTTGGGGAGGACTCAATAGGAGGATATAAAAGTCAAATATAGTCTAAACATCTGGCTGATTGTGCAACCAACCATAATAATGATAGCAATATTCACTCTTCTAACTCATAGGAGTTCTAAAAAGAGAATTCTGTCATCTCTTAACTGATGGATCATCTGAGATCTGCAAATAGCAAACCTGCAAAGGGATAAGCAAATTCTATTCATTTACCACTGCTGTCAAATTTAACTTAATTTTATTAATGTGTATTTTAATGCCTTCTTTTAGGATATAATCTTTAGTTAAGAATCACTTTGTTTTCATTTGATTTGGGTTTTTTTTACTGTCATAAAAATAGCATAGTGTATCATAGCACAGCATAACATACTCCAAAGACATCTGTAGCAATTCTTTGATCTACAAATGCTTTCCATCTCCAGCTCTCTACCTCTCAACTGCCTCTCCACTCCTTTCTCATCGACACCATAGATCTGCCTGTTTTCAGATCTTTGCTGAGCCTTTGCTTTAGTTTTCTGCAGCTTATCCTTCATTTACTTTGATATCTCACATGTCCATTGCCATGCTGACAGACTTTCTCCTTTCGTACCAGATGAAAAGCGTTCTAATAATTTGTTCTGTAAGTACCGTATATTCTGGCGTATAAGGAGACCCGGCGTATAAGACGACCCCCATGTTCGACGCCGGGTCACAAGACGATCGACGCTGAGTCGCAAGACGATTGATGCCGAGTTGCATGCCTAGAAAGTCGTCTTATATGCGGGAAACTACCGGTATTTCCGGCATATAAGACGATCGACGCCGAGTCGCATGCCTAGAAAGTTGTCTTATATGCCGGAAACTACGTTATTTCCGGCATATAAGATGATCGACGCCAAGTCGCATGCCTAGAAAGTCGTCTTATATGCAAGAAACTACCTTATTTCTGAGGCATAAGACGATCCCTGAGTTCGGAAGCTGTTTCAACGTTCTCAAAAGTCGTTTTATACGCCGGAATATACGGTAGCTGATTCCACACACCCCACCCCTACCCCACAGAAAGATTCTGGACAAGGGAGATATTCTCAATATTTGTTGAATGAGATGGGCTCAGCCCCAACAGCCTCTAATCTACTCACAGTCAGCTCTGAATGGAGCAAGAAGCAAATAAATTTGATAACTGTTGACCATTGCTAATTATCATATTTGGTCAGCAATGTTCTGGTCGACCCTGATAAGCTTTGGAAGGAATTAAATTTGAGGTGCTTGAGATCCAACAAGACCCATCTTAGTCTTTGAGATGTTCACAATTAGGAAGTGGATGTATCCCGCTCTCCTCTTAACTTGATATTTGGAGGCAGGTTGCCGAAAGGTAAGGGTGACTCTTCAAGTCTAATAGTCCTTCACTGAGCTTTCCTCCATGAAATTATCTAATCTTCTTTTAAAGTCATCCAAGTTAATGGCTGTCACATGTTTTGTAGTAATTAAGTCCACAGGTTACATTTGCCTTACAACAGGGGTGTCAAACTCACAACGTCACGGGATGTGTCACGACGTATCGTGACTTTTTTGCCATTGCTGGCAATGGGATGGACGCAGTTTCGCCATGATGCATCCAGCCCGCGGGCCGGTAGTTTGACACCCCTGCCTTACAAGGAAAAGAATTTACCGCATTGAATTATTTGATTAGATGAACTTGAGTAACCACAGTACTATTCTGCAAGTTTTAAAAAACTACTTCATACATGATTGCCTTACCTGTTGTACAGAAGAATATCTGGCACCCAAATCTGATCAGCTGGAAATCTCAAATTCTGAACTCCTGGATATTCATACTGATCCCATGACAAATATGCATCGATCCAGTACTATGGAGAAATATATACTGTATATTTACTACAGCACCTTAAATGCTGCCACTATATAAAATAATATGAGGGATCAGTGCCTTCACCCCAGGATAAGGTTTACCTGTGATGAGATATATATATCAATTTTTATAGATGAAATTGCCATTGGCCTACAGAAAATGATGATGGAAGATATTTGGGTTCATGGGGAGACTAGATATGCTATACCAGTGGTGGCGAACCTATGGCACGGGTGCCAGAGGCGGCACTTAGAGCCTTCTTTGTGGGCACGTGCGCCATCGCCCTAGTCCTAGATCTTCAGCTGGGTTTTATAAAACCTTTTTGCTTTAGGCCTGCACCACCATGTGGAAAAAAAAAAAGGTTCAATTAGTCAATTTCAACTTCTCGCAGGGAAAAAAAAGATCTTGCAAAGTTGGAATTGATTGATTGAACTTTTTAGTCCCACCCAGTCTGTCATTACCACTGCAGCCATGCCCACCGAATGTGCCACACTCACCCAATGTGCCACACCCACCCAGCACTCGACAATGCATAAGTGGGTTTTGGGTTGCAGTTTGGGCACTCAGTCTCTAAAAGGTTTGCCATCACTGTGCTATACTATTACTATTTTTAGTAGTAAATTGACTAATATGCAGAGCATTTCCGTTTCAAAATCCTGTTCTGTTTTTTAATTATTATTTTTTAATTACTCTTTCTTGACGTAAAACTACCTACTTTTTTGCTGGGCTTTTTTTAAAAAAAATCCATTACTGCTCTGTTTTATCATTATTCTGATCACTTAAAATAGTGAAGGAAAGAAAAACAGCAATTTGGGAGTAAATGACAGAAAGTACAATGATCATAACTGTTTCCCGCCCACAAATAGGAAAGCAACAGGCAAATTGGCACGATAACAGCCTCAGGGAAATTTCCAGTAGGAGAGCATGGTAAACCGCAGCCCATGAGGACTCTTCTAAACCAGAATTTTTTTCAAACCTGACAACTTTAAGATTGTGGACTTCAACTCCCAGAATTTCCCAACCAGCATGCTGGCTAGGGAACGTTGGGAGTTGAAGTTCACATGTCTTAAAAGTTGCCAAGTTTGAAAAAACACTTTTCTAAACTAAATCTGTATAGTAATAAACAATAACACTGAATACAACTGTTAGGTTATTATTGGGAAGATTATGGGCTAGGTAGGGTAGAGGTATAGCAGTCACCCAAAATGGCAATCAGAGGATTTGATTTGTTTGTAATTCCTAGTAGGATCAACCAGATGATATCACAGTCTGTATTTCTCTGCCAGCATGCCTTATTAGCAACAGATGCATTAATAAGGAATATAGGGAGAAGTACAAGATAATGTGGGGCCTACTAAATTAAGGGTCGGGCAGAAGGACAAATTGTAGTGTTCAGTTTTCAGCACAAATTGAAATCTAGCTTCAACATTAATCTGGCTCAAACCTCTTCCAGAAATTATTCTGCTTTCTCTGAAATCCAATAAAGCCAAACCATTCATTTCTCTAACCCAAGAATTATAACTAACATAAACTTTAAATATGCAGGATTTATTTTCTGCTTCAGACACTCTTTTCTCCATCTGGAGAATCTGTTCTTTGGCAAATAATTAAATTCAGCCGCCTAGAATAAAGGTAAATTTACTCACCATCTGTAGCCATGCGTTTGTTATCAAGACTTGGTTCTTTTCATCCTTAAAAAAAAATAGGAGGAAAAATAATTTAAATGAGCAGTTTTCTTAATTATTTATAAATCAATGGTTTTAAAAGATGGGCTCAGGAGAATTCAGAATGAGTACAGGTAGAGCCTACAGACATTCAAATAGGCTTATTATGGACTATTTTTATTGTTCTAATTCTTAAAAAACTTGGTAGATGAGGGATTGACTTACTGTTTGTATTATTCTTTAAGAGTGGCAAAATTCTGCATAGCTCCTGATTCTTTATAGCAGTGCTTGAAAAATTCATTGGTAATATATTTTAAATCTATAAATGTTATTCCGTTTGTAAGCTTTAAGTATAAAAGTATATCACTCTTAAACTCTTTAGGATGAATTGGTGGCTAACTGGGAAATGGTGTTCTTTTGGTTCTAGAATCGCAGTAGCTAATATAAAATAGATATGGATGCTTTTCATAAATGTTATATGATTCTTTTCCCTCATTTCCATTTGCACAACTGTTCTACAGCTGCTATATTTACTGCTGCATTTGATTTGTTACATATCCAATGACAGTAATGAAAAGTATTCCTTCAATTAATGGGAATTATTTTCCTAGGACATTAAGAAAAAATAAATGTGATTAAAATCACACATTTTTAAGATAGTGTGGGTATCTGTTCTACACAAGTGGGGCTTGTAGCCCAATAGCTGTCGCTTCCATTTTTCATAAATAGTGTACTTTTGACCATATAAAAACTGACACTTTGAGAACGAAGGTCTCAGTGAACAAAGGTAACCTGCAGAGAACTTCGTAGCATTCAGTAGAATACAGAGATGTATGTGCTTCTATCAATAGATGCAATTTTGCTTCATGGAAAACCAAGTGACATTGTTTTTGCCCCAAGCATCTGCTTTGGAAGATTCCCCAATCTCCTCAAGCAGCTTTTGAGAGCTCAGGTTATTGAGATGGAATGGGAGGAGAGAAATAGTTCTGTAGCAAGAGAAGTCTGCAAGCATGAAATGCTATGCATTTCTCTTAGATAACTACATCCAGCAGCCAACATGATTGGTTAGAAGAGTAAGGGGAAGGAAGAAAAATCAATTACAGTTCCTGCAAAGTTTAATTAACTATATGTAACTATATTGTTCATTTGAAGTGTGTCAGCATTTCTCTGTTACAGAATGCAGTCAATATTTATTAAATCCTTACCTAGGGGTTATTGCATCACGGTATTGGGATAAACAAACAGGGAAAGAAACAAAAATAAAATCAACAGGATAGGAGCAGCATAAAATGAGTCCAACCACAATTAAGTTCACTGGTCTCAATAAATGTATAGATGCATACAAATTCTCCCTTTGTAAAAGAAACGTAAGATAATATTCTGAATGCAGGAATGAAGATGTAATTCATACCCCTTGCACACATAATTCATAAGATTATGCATAAGAGTCATGATCCCATGTCTTTATTACTTCTCTTCTTCTCATCTAATGTCCACAATATATCCAAATACTACACTCAGTGGCGAACTTTTCAATTCGGCAGCATTGACATCCGATATCTTCTTCATCACCATCAAGATTCTTTCATCCAAAAGGTTTTCATGAATCCAGAATTCCAGTCCTCCAAATGAAGCAACGAGACTCATGAGCTTTTTATGGACGAAGCGGTTTGTTTATTCATTTAATTTATATGGCCACCTAAGTCAACAAGTGACTCTGGACCATCTCAAAATAAGTTGAATACAATTCCTGCCACAAATATAAAAATTGAAATACACAGCAGCCAAAGAAGATACCAAAACTGACAGTCACTAGCACAGTCAGGAGATGGGGCCCTGAGAGTGTGAAGGCCCAGGCATAGAAGCTCTTCAAGGCGTTATCAAAGGCCAGCAGGGTTGAAGACATCCTAATTTTCAGAGGAATATTGTTCTACAAAGTGGGTGCTACAGCAGAAAAAACATACCATCTGGCTGGGCCATGCCATGACGTTCCTTGGCCAATGTGATCCAAAGCATATCCATCTTCTGGATCAGATCAGATGAATAAAAACAACCAGGGAAAGAATACACTGACATTTTAAAACATTCCATTCTTCTGACCAGAGTTCTAGCACTAGATTGAGTTATAGTTATACAGTTAGAACAATTAATCAATGGAACAGCCTGCCTCCAGAAGTTGTGAATTCTCCAATACTGGAAGTTTTTAAGAAGAGATGGCCAAATTGACTGTACTGATAAAAGAAAAGAACATAAGTATTTTTGTTTCTACTTGGAAACTGCTTCTGGACTTTGTGCTTGAAGTGGAAAAAAATGATATTATGATTTTGGGTTTTACCAGTTGGACTGATTTACCAATATAGAAATGGTTAGTGCATACTATTATTAAAATGTAAAAAGTTGAGATTTGATTTTAATGTCTGATTTTACTGCAACAGAGAGAGTCGGAAGTCAATGCCTTTTGTTTCTTTCCCTTCCCTTCTTCACACCTTTTTTGTTTTTCCTTTTTCTATTGTTGTCCCCTACTATTTGCTTTTCTATTTTCACATTTTATGTTATAAATGAATAAAACTAATAAAAAGAGGGGGAAAAGAAGGACAAAAAAAGAGACTGGACAACCATTTGTCTGAAATGGTATAGGGTTTCCTGCCTGAGCAGGGGGTTGGACAAGAAGATCTCCAAGGTCCTTTCCAACTCTACTACTACTACTACTACTACTACTACTACTACTACTACTACTACTACTATTATACCACTATTTACTGCAATAGAACAGTATTTTCATCTCCTATCATATCTCAAATTTCAAAACTAAAAATAAAATAATTATAAAATATATAGAACTTATTTTCCTATCCAGTCACTTCAGTTTTATTAAGAATTAATTTAGTTAGGAGCCACTTGCATTGATAATGGCAGCATGACTTGAAATGTTGATGTATTCCTTTTTACCATTGCCAATACCATATTTTACAATAAAATCAGTTTATCATTCTTCCCAGCTTTGCTCATTTCTTGTTACTAACACCTCCTTCTTCAAGAAAATAAAAGTCCTTGTACTGACAATTTCAAGGGAGCTGGGGGATTTCAGAATGAAAATCTACTTCTCATTGAAATGGTAAGCCAGTTTTTGAGCCAGAACACTATTCAATCTTTAAGAGAGCTTGCAAAATTTCATATTCCTCCCACACAGGTATAAGCAAATCCTTGTGGATGTTTATTTTATCATATTTGTACCACTTTTTCCTGTTAAAGGTATCTTAGGCAACAAAATCCATTCTTAAAAATAGCACAAATAAATATTTTTACCTTTGCCATCTATAGTATATGGAGGTTATAACACAGAGCAGTCAAACAACAAACAACAATAACTATCAGCTGTATAGATAAGCTGTTTATTTTAATAGAAATGTCCTCGGCAATTAGTGGAGATCTTGGAGGGTGGGGAGGTCCTCTCTAAAAAGTTTCAAAAACAATAATTTCCTACTAATAGGAATTCACACCTCACGTGATTTCCCAACTCCGGAAGGTAACCTTCTATTGCCTGAAGTCAAGACAACTTAAAAATCTATCCCATTGTTCGAAATTGCTTGAAGGGCCAGTTTTGACCTATTCCCCTACACAGTTGGTTCCCACCTCCCTTTTGTTGTAAAAGAAAAGTAATACAGTAAGGAACTTAAGGCCAGGCCTAGAATCAGAATTTTCAAACAAAGGGAATGAATTACACAGTTCTGTACACACACTTCAGAAGTGGAAGAAGACCAACTACTGTTGCTGTCACAAATTGAAATCTTTAAAAGAGAACCTTATGCATTTATTATCTGCAAAGGTTACTGTGAATATGTGAAAGGTTCTTCCATGTTTATCCATACACTTTCCTTCATTTGAAAACAGTTTTTTATTTCCATTAGAATCCCTATGCATTTATTACACTTTACTAATCTTTGCAATTCCTTGCACTCTTTTGACATATTTCTTGAATTATCTTTACACACACACACACACACACACACAGAGAGAGAGAGAGAGAGAGAGAGAGAGAGAGAGAGAGAGAGAGATTCCTCAAATCTTCATTTTTGGCAGCAATCATTCTCCTATATGCGTTTTTCTTTTTCTTTTTCTCAGCTTCTTTGCTACTCTACCAGTGTCTTTTAGTGGAGTTCTACTTAGTTCTGGGACATTCTGTAATAGCATTATTTTCACTCTGCTCCAAGCAGTTTCTACATTACCTATCTTGATATCCCCTTTTCATTTAGCAATACCAATAGCATTTAGGCTTACATACTACCCCATAGTGCTTTACAGCGCTCTCTGGGCAGCATACAATGTTTTGTAAACTGCTTATAATGTTTTGCATATTGCCCTAACAATATGGATCCTTATTTTACTGACGTCGGAAGGATGGAAAGCTGAGTCATCAGGATCGAACAGAGTTTGCCTGCAATACTGCATTTTAATCATGGCATCAGTGATTAAAATTTATTTGCTCCTCTCTCAGCTCTCTCATATTCTTCCTTTTCTTCCATGTCCATTTTTTCAAAGATCCATCTAGAGTCTAGACAATGCCAAGTAATGATCTGTACAAATAATAACAATTCAGAATCTCTCATTACCCTTGTATCCTAATGCTCTCCGACTTTTATCACAAAGAATCAAAGTAGTCTTGCTTTTAGAATTATGTTAAAAGAGATTGTTTCTGTGCATGTGTGCATCAATCACTGTTTTCCTTTATCACTGGATTTATTAAAATCCAATGACATTTTCTGCAGTCTCTCATCTCCTACCTGTACATCCATGCATGCCATCTAACCCTGGATCATATTCATTCAGCCCAAAGTCATATCTTGTTCTTCCAGGTAATACTATTACCAACCTGTAGATTCCTATTTTCATAACACCCATAACAACCTAGCCGTCTCCTACTCATATTTTCTGACATATCTTTTTTAGCCTTTTCATTCATCACGGAACCTACCTCTTCATTCAGATCAGTTACTTTGATTAATTTCAGGGGGAAAATGTGTGCAAAA